CACCAGCTCAGCACTACAGGCTGAAAGCCAAGTATGCTGCTGCCACGGGGGGCCCCCCTCCGACTCCCCTGCCGAATATGGAAAGGATGACCCTGAAGAACAGGATATCACTTATGGATGGACCAGACCCCACCTTGCCCTCCATCCGACTCCCACCGGGCCCCAGGCGTTGCAGTGATGGTAACACCTATGGCTACCCATCAGCTGCAACGTTTCCCCATGAGGTGCCGGGCAACTGCACGAGGCGGGCGAGTGACCCGGTGAGGAGACCTGCCGGCGACCCCCAGGCCCTCCCACGAGTTCACCGCTTCAACAGCACCAACAGCATGAACCCCTTGCATCCTCCACACCCCACAGACAGGAGGAATTTCGGCCTTCAGAATTATGGGCGCTCAGACGGAAGCCTCCCCCGGCACACCTACTCACCCCGGCCGCTAAGCATCAGTGAAAACATCGCCATGGAAGCCATGTCTGGGGAGGCAGAGGCACCCGTTGGAGACGATGACATTATGCTGCCAGACGATGTGGTGCAGTACATCAAATCCCAGAGCAACGGGATGGCGGCTGAGAGCACTTCTATGGGGTACAGCAACGACATGCAGGGTTTCCAGGGAAGCGGGAAGCTGCAGCCTCCAGCCTTGCCCGGCCAGCGTAGGATGGCAGTGGCTGAGGCAAGTATGAGCCACTTGGGACCCATGATGGCAGAGTGTCCCATGAGCTTTGATGCTTCCTCAGACATGAATAAAAATAACATGCCTGTCCAGTGGAATGAAGTCAGCTCGGGTACGGTTGATATAATGTCCAATCAGTCAAAGCAGCAGTTTTCGCAAGGGAATTTAGCGGTGGTCCAGCAGAAGCAGAACTTTGGTCAGTACCAGAACTACAACCAGCAGCAGATGCAACTGCCAGAGAACAGCATGAACGTAACACAGCAGAGCTTTATGCAAAGAAATGTGGGCATGGATGGGCAGAGGCTAAACTGTATGCAGCTGCGGCAGCAGCCGATGAGCCTAGGCCCCGGTATGAACCCTGATCTGGGCTTGCACACAGGGTATAATCAACCTCATCACATGCTGAGCCCCAGTGCAATCAGTGGCAACCCAAATCAGATCTCTCCTTCTTGTAGCAACATAGCAGCAAAGTCTGGACCGCACCTTCACCCTCAGCAAATGGACATGGCAACCGACCCTTCTTTAATGGTCGGCAGCAACAGTGAGCGCACTATGCTGGGCCAGGTCATGCACGAACCAAGTCAGCAGAACTATTCATCTCAGCCGACCCACCTGAACTTCCCCATGGGTCAGGAGGCCTTTCATCAGCCCATCATGACCTCCAACCAGCCCAGCTTTGAGCCTCAACAGAGCATGATGGGCTCAGCCGCGCAGGCATATCCACCTGGCATGGTCCAGCCTCGTCCTCCACCCGAGCCAAGCCCAGGCAGCAGACCCCGAGGCCTCCGCACCGTCCAGCAGCTGGGCTACATGAGAACTCCTCACCCTACAAACACCATCAGCCCGGGCCAGGAGGCGGCAGAGGCCGCGCATAAAAGAACCAGCGACATGTTGCCGGCACCAGCCCAGCAGTGTGCGGATGGCACGAGGGAAAATAATTTGATGTACTATTACGGTCAAATCCACATGTACGAACAGAACAGCAGCTTTGATAACCACGCGGACTGCCGGGTCAGACAGCAGCAGTGTGCGCTGAACAGCAAGCCGGCCGCTCTGCCTTCCCCGGGTGCGAACCAGGTGTCCAGCACGGTGGACTCGCAAGGTCTTGAGCCGCCGCAGATAGATTTTGATGCAATCATGGATGATGGGGACCATTCAAGCCTGATGTCAGGAACCCTGAGCCCCAGCATTCTGCAGAACCTCTCCCAGAACTCCTCTCGCCTGACGACTCCACGAAACTCTCTGACACTGCCCACCATACCCACGGGAATAAGCAATATGGCAATAGGCGATATGAGCTCCATGCTAACCACACTGGCGGAAGAGAGTAAATTTCTAAACATGATGTCATAACAGTAAAGCACAAGGCCTTAGCGCTATCCAAGGGGCTCTGCATGAAGCAGTTTTATGAATGTGCTTTTCAAAAACAATATGTTTCAATAGAGTAGATTTTTTATAAGTATTAAATACATTAAAGGGATTCAAAATGAAAATTTTAAAAAAGTCTCTGTACAGAATTATGTAAACTATATCCAGGCAGTTCAGCACCGTGAGGGTGCACCTCTAGTATTTTTTGGCTTGGTTTCCCAGAGCACTGAACGGTATCACCACCAAGCTAGGAGACTGCATGAGCGTGGTTAGAGATGAAACCCTCCCTCCCCAGCAGCCCTGTAAATAGCACTCCCCATCATTTTCTGTTAGTTACATTCACAAAAAAATTCCATTTTCAACCCACCCCAGAAAGAAACGGGAGGATGCGGTTTTGATCAGAACAAAAGCCATACTATGTATTCTGCTCTGATGAGAGTAGGGTATAGTTACGTCTCCAAACAAGCCCTCTGCCAGCAGTATTGTTTTATACCGTAAATACCTTTGTACCTTGCAAAGAGCGTTGATTCCAAACGGCTTCTCAGCAAAGTGCCTTACCATGCTTTCGTGTTAAGTAGCCAAGGCCTCTCTTCCTTTAAAAATCAAATATAGTGTATTGCCAGAAGCGTATATAAAATGTACATTTATAAAAACATAGTGGTGTTTCTGAGAAAACATTGGAAAGACACATTGATGAGACACATAAAAGGTGAATGCGCACTTTGATCAGATGTGTTTACAACGTGGTTTATATCATGTGCAGAGTGGAGCAGAGGCCTGGGAACAGCAATCACTGGGAAATAATCCCCCGTGGCAGGAAGGCTCCGGCGTGCAGACTGACACACACGCATAACTTTGTGCCCTCTGAGCGCAATGACTTTCTGCAGGGGCCCTGCATGCATCTTTAATGTCAGGTTTCTGAAGCACGCATTACCATATCCCTGTGCGGCTTTGCAACGGCTTTGCTTTCGGTTGGGTTTTCCATGCTGAGGTGCTTACATACAAAAGTGATGGTGATGGAGAGACTTTTATGATCGTTTCAGCCTGGTCTGTACTGTGGCAGCGTTCTGGGAGCTGGTTTGTCTGGCCAGGGTTCGTCTGTGTAATATACTCCACGCGGGGCTCTGCCTGAGCTCCGTGCACACAACAGGCGCGCGGTTGCACTGATGCGAGGCCAAGCATGAGCTAATACACCCTGACCTGCAAGGGGACTTGTTGGCATGTACCCAGTGCTGCGTTAACATGTCCCACAGCTTTGGTCAGCATGAAAAGAGCTGCTGTATCCAAAAAATACACCATGGACAACCCAGGGTGTTAGTTTGGCTAGTGCTTTGTGCTACAGTATATAGCTACTCTTTGTACCCAGCCTGGTTCGTTTCAGCACTGCACCTGCAGTCTACGGCATAGGCAAACATCTGGATAGTCTCAAACCAGGTATTTGAGTCAAAAAAGTAGCTTGGTCAGTGAGAATCTCTTGGAAATATCGTTGGGGAAGAGATGGGAGGAGCAGGGCCTCCCGAAGCCAAATCCTCCACCAAAATATAACTGCTTGTAATAACAATCAGCTGTTTCCAGACCAGTCCCACCTGGCACTGAAGTCAATCGTAGTTGCATTATTTATTTTTACTGTCATTAGACAAAAGCCTAGAAGTGGTGGGGTGCACATACTTGGGCAGGAGGCCTTGCTTGACTTCTGACTGCGTTGGATAAGGACAACTCTCCCCATCCTGCTCTCATAGCATCAGACACTTTGTGCCCAGTATGCTGAAGGGCAGGGGACGAGTGTGACATCCGCCCCAGGTTCTCACAGTGTGACCGGACAAGCTTCTGCAGAGCTTCACTCTCTCTCCTTCCCATCTCTCTCCTCTCCCCCCCATATCGATGTGATGTTCTCACTTGCGTCTGTCTCCTGCACGGTACAGGGGCAGCTCTATAAAGGTGCTTTGTGGTGCCCCTGCTTTCCTTTTGCTCAAGCTGATGTCAGGCTCACTGTTCCCAGTGTGACCAGGGGCTGGCATGAAAATGCCACGTGTTACCTTCAGGCAAACTTTGGGGTACCAGATATTCCAGCAGCTGTGCTTGGCAGCGGTGGGTTGGGACAGCCCTGCTGCCAGGTAGCCCTGGGTACGGCTGGTGCAGGGAGGTGCTGCTCAGCCTCCTGCGATGTCACCCATCCTCACCCCAAATGCAGAGGGTGTGCACAGGATGCTCTTCACTGAGGATCTCCTGTCTTCACTGGTCGTCTCCTGCTGATGTCCAGGATGCATGAGGACAGGAAAGCAAAGCAAGGTGCCTGGCTGTTTATTTGTGTCTCCCGTGAAAGTTGTGTTTAAAGGGATTGTTTTATAGTCCGCTGTATATATTCTCCTGCAGTTACTGACCTTGCCCTTGCCTTTGCATTTATGAAAAGAGGGCAGTACATATTTTAGGACGTTGTATGTTATCCTGGACGCTTGGAGTACAACTGGGCATCCCTTGTGCTGAGATGGATCAGGCTTTCATGTGTCCTTCAACTGCTAATCTGATTTTTTTCAACAGCTGTGTAGGGCGATGATGGCTACTGAGTCCCTCTTCACAGATATCTTCAGTTGCAAAAATCAGATACAAAAGCAAAACCAAATCTCCAATGACTTGAGATTTCTCAGACTTTCCAGTGGTGGTCTTCCTTCATTTACTGAAAAAGTATTATAATAACCATTCCAGCACTGTATATATTATGTATAGAAGACATCATTACTAAAAGTACTGTAGGTGAATTGTTCTGTCAAATTTATATCTTAAGAACATTTTTAGCTGTTTTCTACATCATAAGAACGGAGGTAACATGCTGAACCTGTATATAAACGTTTTGTACATTAAAAAGTAATTTTTTTCATAATTTCTTGTGCCTGTTGTTATTGCTTTTTATTGGTAATGGTGGTTGGCCTCGGTCTGTCATATTGCCACATCAACACAGTCAGCTGGACTCTGGTGGTGCTTAGGAAGAGCTGATGAGGAGCTGGGTGGGCCTGGTGTGTGAGTCACTGCTGGATGTGCAGTGGTCTTGCCTTGAAGAGCTTCCAGTCAATGATGGGATGGATGTGGCAGAAAGAAAGACAGCGAGGCCAGGGTGCTGCTGCAAGCACAGCCATGCTGCCCAGGTGGCATTCATTGGCCTCTTGGCAGAGGTGAAGGAGGATGACAGTGCAGCAGGAGCACCACAGGAGAAGGGCTCAAAGCGAGGGCTGGACATATTTGGAACCAGACAATTCACGGCAAAATGTCTTGTTGACCATCTTTGTCAGTGTCCAAAAGGAGACGGAAATAGGACAGATCAGCAGAGCTGTGATGGGCCATGACAGTGACTAGTCGAATATTGAGTTTGAAGAAAGGAGAAATGAATCTGTCCACTATGTACATGATGGGAAGCAACGATAGGATGAGCAGCAGATACATCAGTCGTGATCCAGTTAGAGGGTGGTACAGCCCATTGATGAGAAACATTTCATTTGACTGGAGCAAGAGTTAGTTCAGCCACTCAAGAGACTGATTTTCAACTTGATTTGTAGAGATGGATTGGTGTGGACAGGGCTAGAGCTTTAGGGGAGGGTGGGGAAGCTGTTCATAGGTGATCCTTATGGGGCACAGTGATGAGTTTGGAATAAAGTCAGCTATTGAGCAAAGCAGCTGGCCCGTGAATCAGCCGTGGCGCTTGGTGCAAATGAACCAGCAGTATCATGCAGAAGCAATGGAAGGGGATGTCCTCATTTTCCTCCACACAGGATCCCTGCTGAGTTGATTGATAGAATCAGGTAAGTTTGGGACAAATCCTCACCCTACTATCTGGGTTCCCTCATAGTCTGTGGCAAGAGATTGGCATATCCCAAGACAGAGTTAATCTTTCCTGTTTTAGACATGTAGGACAGGGTGGATTTTCCTCTGGAAGATATCTGTCACTCTCCTCATTGATTACAGAGAGACAGCATGTAGCCAGCTTAGATTAGATACCTTCTCTGGTAGCATGAGATGAATCCCACGCTCCTGTGAATCTCTTGCACCAATCTAGTCACTCTCAGCACAGTCTGAGGTTGAGCCAGTGAACAAGATGCTGATTAATGTGTTAATGATCCTGTTAGTCTGCAAATCCATTGGATAAATATCACACCCCTCTGTACTGTCCAAGAACTACAGAAATCACGTAAAAAAAAAATGCAGTAATATTATTAAAAGGAAATTGTTCGGTGCTTTTCTATTGACAAAAGGCTTCGGAGACTCAGATCAGCTTCTGCTGCTTTTCTACTTCAAACACTTAAAGTGGGTTTCTAATCTAGATCAAATGCTGCTTTTAGCTGGTATTTCACTTTAGAGTTCGATCAGGGCATCTGTGTAAGAACATATTTATTACCTAAACTGGGCTAACATTTCCTAGGAGCCCACCCGAGGTCATGTACCAGCATGTGCATTTTTACTGCTCAGCCATCCTGGAACAAACAGGGATCGAATGGCTCATTGCTCCAATTGTAAGCAGGCAATAACCTTCTGCAACAAATGTTGTTTATAAGGCAGAGCTTGGAGTTTATACTACTGTGGCAGTTTCATAATATTCAATTAACCTTCTTTTTAATCAATCATATCCCTTATGAAAACGAACCGTCCTAACAAGGCTGATTCTGACCCTCTTTGGTGAGTGTTACCTCACTCCGCTCCCAAAACCAGTGGGGACATAGGAGGAGTAAGATCCCACTCCGGGTAAAACCGTCACAGGTCTTTAATATTGCACTAATATCTCAGGTTTTCCTGGAGGGGAGAAAAAGCCCATAAAAGCTACTGTTGCTGGATCTGATTGCACTTACTGAGTACGGAGTCATTCCAACGGCTCTTTATTGCAGTGGTCTCAGTAGGGATGACATAGGAGCTCTTGTTCTTTACGAGCTGTTGGATCTACTTGGAAGAGCATATGTGTTGTAAATAAATGGTGTGTTTTATATTATTGGAAGGACAATTTA